ATATGTCAGTTTATTTTGTATACATAATATAATAAATGAGAAAATTAAAATTCAGAATAATTCATCAGAGTTAACAAATTTAAAAAAAGTATAATATATTAAAATAAAACCCGGCTGAGGGCTGGGCAAAAGCGGGCCGAAGGCCCCCATAATTTTTTTTAGTTGAGCCTCCTGAGATTGTAAAGGCTAGCGACGCCCCTGATACCAACTAATTTGTTTTCTAGTATTTAAAGTTTGTTAGAGAGAGAGTGTATAACATTTTTCCAGGGAGAGACGAAAAGTTTTTATCAAAAATAAAATTTTAATTTTTTTTTATATATAAATTAATTATTATTAATGAAAAATAATTAACAAAACATTTATATATAATTTTCATTACTATTATATAAAATAAATATAGGATAAAGAATTTAGGATCATAATAATTTACGTGATACGTGATATATAGCTCTTTTGCCTTCTAGCGTTGAAGGTTCAACAGAGCTACGCTAGATTTTCCTCATTACCATCTAAGAGCTAATTTAATTTACGTGTAAAAGTAAAATTATGGGGAGCCCTCCACACGTTTGTGGGCAAGCCTCACGTACTTGTAGGCGGAACATTTCGAAAAATGTTACTTAATCCTCTATAGGCTTATTAAAAAAGGAGTGGGGCAGAAAAAGAGCCTATACCCGAGAACTACAGTATAATTTAATTACTTTAAGGGTGGGTGGTGGCTGATTTTAAGTTTAAATTCTGTATAAAGATTGTTATCAATATTGAGATTTAATGTTCATAGAGAATCTTTAAGATATAATTTAATAAAAAAATTTCCTGATCAGTATGATATAGTATTATTTTTTATATTAATGATTCAACCCATACAATACAGTACTATCACTTCAAAATTTTTGCACCTGATGAAACCGCCTAAATTGAGGATTTAAAAGCGGGCAACAAAAAACCTATTTTAATGTCTTATACAACTTGTTATCAATATTTGTATTTATATATTTAGAGCTTATTATAATTTATAATTTTGGTTATTGTAAAGTTATTAGGTTATCCCGCCCTTAATTTTCCCCCCCTTATTATTGTTTTACTTATATATTTTTATTAATCATTTCCTTTTCCATAGTCTTCTATTAAAATAAAAATTTTGTAAAGTTTTACTTTTATTTTTTTATACGCTAAGCTGTATTTTATTTCCCTTCAAATTTTAAATCTTTTCTATTATAATGTCTATGTCAACTCGTTTTCTAAATGTGCACAGAGATATGGAGGTAAATTTTCTCTATACAGTTTTAAATTTTATTTGTTTTTCTGTATTAAACAATCTTTATCTTTATCTTTTTCGTTTTTTATTTATTTTTTTTCTCTTTAAGTTTTTAGGTGACCTCATCTTCCAAAATTTTGGTCTCTTTTATATTAAATTAGTCCTAGGAAACTCTTTCATAATTTTATTTATTCATTTTTTTATTTTTTCGATTGGCTCTCCTTTAGGTAACATATATTTTCCTTTATCGAAATTCCCAAGAAATTTCCTTTACACTATTCCTTCCCTAACATATGTTTTCCTTTTTTATCGGAATTCCCAAGAAATTTCCTTTATACTATTCCTTTCCTAACATATGTTTTCCTTTTATCGGAATTCCCTAGAAATTTCCTTTACACTATTCCTTTAGGTAATTAAGACAATATCCTTTTAAAACCGATAAACCCACAATCACTTTCTACCCCCTTGTTTTGGCATTGCTTTTGAATTACCTCACTTTGTTTCTACTCTTTATCTTCCGAGTTGGTTTAAAGCCTACAGACATCCTTGTCAATTTTTTTTCCTTTTTCTTTTTAAACAGAACTGTAAGAAATAATATCTATACTATGACCACTTGCAATAAATCATGTTATACATATATCCTTTTTATCTGATAGCGCCCGAGTGGTTTGAAAGGAAATTTTATCATGTCCTCGCTTAATATTAATGGTTTAATGTATAAATTAACGATTTTTCTAAGGCTCATGGTCGACGAAAAAATGGATGTGATTGCGATACAGGAGACCCACTCAAAAGATAATAATATGGCTACCTTTAATAACTTTAAAATGTATAGTTCTGGCACCACTTCCAATAATTGGTCGGGGGTTGCTTTCTTTATCAGCAAAAGATTATGCGAATACGTGGATAAATTTGTGCCCATTTTGGAGAGATGCTGTTTACTATACCTGAATACCTGCTTCAGGCAAACAATCTTAGTTAATGTCTATGCCCCGCCTAGAAGAAACGAACGGCTCGCATTCCTTGATGACCTCGAAAACATTGTAAACTCTCTTCCTAGGAGTCGTAATTTGATAATCCTTGGGGATTTAAATACTAGGATCGGAAAAGATGACTCCTTTATTAGAGATGGGGTAATTGGGAATGCAGCGCTCTCTCAATTAAACAGTGATGACAGTAGGAAGTTATTGGAGATGTGCAGGAGTATAAACCTCAAGGTTGAAAATACTTTCTTTTCACACAGCGAATCGAACACCCTAACCTTCAGAAGAAATAATATCAAATCTCAGATCGATTTTATCATCTCGAACATTCATAGCTGGTTCATCGATGTAAAAGTAATGCCTAATATTAATATTTCTGATCATAACTTAATCAGAGCCAGTATTACTGTGAGAAATTTATGGGGAAACTCTCGGCGTCCTTCTCTTCAACCCCAGCCTAGATACCTGTCCTGGAAGAGGAATGCAACACACCTGCAACGTCCTGCAGTCAAACTACAGCTCGATCTAATCTTAAATGATAGGGAGGCAACTTTCTTATCCTCATCGGAGTCTCAATCTGTCGAAAAATGTTGGGTGTCTTTCAAAAACAACTTGTTTGATGCCTGCAATCATCTCCCTAACATCAACAATTCTCCACCAAGACAGGAATGGCTATCTGATGACACCATTCGCATAACGAACAGATGGCGTTATGGCTGGACCACTATATTGGAGTCTTTGATTCTAGGAGGCCTACCTTAATCCCATCCACTAGTCAAAGTGTTGGACAATTGGACGCAAACTTTTCATTGGCTGAAATTGTGGCCGCTATTAAGAAGCTTAGGAATAATAAATCTCCGGGTACGGATAACATTACAGGAGAACACCTGAAAGCAGCTCCCTTAGCGATCTCTCGGTTCTTACTGCATTTGTTTAACAAGATATGGTTGACTGGGATGATGCCAGCGGATTGGAATAAGACTATCTTTTGCAACTTCCCGAAAATTCCAAATCCATCTAAATCCAAGGATTATAGAGCCATCGCTCTCACGTCTGTTGCATCAAAAGTTTTTATGGTTCTTTTAAAAAACCGCATTCTTTCCTCTACACCAAACCTTTTGTCTAAATACATTTGTGCTTACCGTCCAGGTAGAAATATAAACGAACCAATATTAGCTTTAAAGATTATAATGCAGAAATGTCAGAAGTATAAATGACCTTTTTACTATATTTTTATCGACTTTAAACGTGCTTTTGATAATGTTAACCATGATGCGCTTTGGAAGATTTTAACCGAATGTGACATTGACTCTAATATTATAAGGATCCTTAAAACACATTATAGTAGTCTTTTTGCCTCTTTAAAAATCAATAATAAGGTTTCTCCATCTTTTAGGACAAAGAAAGGGGTAAAACAAGGATGTGTTCTTTCCCCGCTATTGTTTAATATACTTATGAATAAAATCATAGTAGATACGCTTGCTACTGCGAATCTCTTAGAATTAAGATCCAGTCAGTCTTTTTTCTTGGAAAATAGGGTGATATGTTATGCTGACGACATAGTTTTGATAACAAAAAGTTTGGAAGAAACCCAAAATTTGATCTCTATATTAAACTCCTTTAGTCTTAAGGTTGGCTTGGATATTAACTTTGATAAAACAGTGATAATGCCCTCGTCTCAGGCGCCTCTTCTGAATAATTTGGTGGTTGGGGGAAAGTTGGTTAAGGTGGTGAAATCCTTTAAATATCTAGGTGTAACCATTGACAATAAAGGTAGTTGCAAAGAAGAACTAAAAATTCGTTTACAAAATGCTAGGGCGGCTTTTTATAAATTTTTTAAACTGTGGAAAGCTAGAGAGATATCCGTTTTCACAAGACTCCGTATTTTCAACTCAACCATCATCCCGATTCTGTTTTATAGCGGTGATACATGGGACAGGGGGGTGGCGAGGTTTGTAAATATGTTTGTTGGTAGAGTCTTTCCGTGAGTGATAGACTATCATATAACAATCAAGCCATAACGCCTTTTGTTAATCCTGGCCAACAATTACTTTTTTATTTCCTAAAACTTACGGAGCTGGTTCCTATTTCTGCGTCATAGTTTCCTTTCTCTCATATCTTTATCATTATCAAAGACCTTTTTCGCTATATAATCTATCTATCACTCCATAGAGTTTTTTTAATAAAAAAACCTTTGTTGTGTGGTGTTCGTTGCTGGATAGTCATAAACCGATTACTGACTAGTTTTTGCCTATTCACTGGAATCTTCACCTATTTAAACAATTTGCGGTAAACCCATTAGCTTTTTCTTATTTTCAAGAATAAATTCTAATCTCAATTGATATGAACACATTCTCAATTATTGTTAGTAACCATCAAGGCTTACATTAGATGTTAAACTTAAAATTAGCCACCACCCACCCTTAAAGTAATTAAATTATTTTTGCAGTTCATGGGTATAGGCTTTTGTTTTGCCCATTTCTTTTTGTTTATTAGCCTATAGACGTTTAAGCAACAGTTCTCGGACTGTTGCGCGTATAAGTACGTGCGGCTTGCCCACAAACGTGTGAGGGCTCCTCATTTTTTCTCCCCTTAATTAACTATCCAGTTTGATGGATTTTTGAGGAAAACCTAGCGTAGCTCTGTTGTATCCACAACCAGAGGGCGAAAACGCTTTTATCACGTATCACGTATCACGTATTCAGCAATTATTAAGCACACATGTTTTGGGATAAACGCAATTTTCTCAATGTCAAAATTGAACTCTCTAAAAACTTGCCTGAATTCCATAACCATAACTAATAATTTTTCTAAGGGATTTTATGATGATTTTAAGAGAAAACATGATTATCTTCGTATTAGTGTAATCGATAAATGCAATTTTAAATGTAAGTTCCAATTATAATTTTACATATATGTTTACTTGATTATGATTGTTTATATTTAGTTTATTATTAGTATCTTATATTAATTTTAAATAAGTTAAATTGATATTTTTTTAAAATAAAGCCTCCTTTTAATAGTTGCATTAATTACAATAGCTATAATATATTTTTAATTTCTAATTTTTAGGTTATTTAATATTAGCTCAATGACATAATTTTCTCAAGCTTGTTTAAAATTTTTTTTTTTTAGCCCTGCTTGTAATTGTGAAAAAACATATTTATATTAAACTCCAGGGTGGCCAGTCCTAATAGCCTGGCATAAAAATATTTTATCTAAGTTACCTATCCTATATTTATTTTAGTTTTCTAATAATCCTAACACAATATGTTTTTAGGTTGATATCATTTAGCACAATGATATTTATAATTTATTATATTTTTTTAGACATATTTTAAATTTTAAAAAGTAATTTGTAATACTAGATTTTGGAGATTAATATATAATGAGTCCCAATTTAAAAAATAATCAGTTTTTTTAAATTAATTTTTTATATTTTACAAAAAAGGGCTTTTATTAACCCTTTATAATTTCCCAATAATTAAAAAATAAAACTACAGGTAACTCAAAATCAACTAAAGTGAATGTAAAAATACTTGTTTAACCATAAAATGTTTAAATCCATTAAAAAAACAATCCTATAATATAGTGAATCAAATTTAAATTTTTTCAAGAGTATTTTTACCAAAATTTTCCTAAATGCCACCATCCTAGTATGCAGGATTGGGCACATAGTTTCAAAAAATTAATGGTGATAACTGTAGTCAATACATGTAATGGTTACGTTACCACTTTCTGGGGCAAAAAAAGATTACAGTTGCCATTATTTAAAAAAATGTTATGGAAGGCTCTTTGTTCATAAGTGTTTTGCGATAAAATAATAAATGAAAAATAAAATAAAAATGATAACTCATTGTGTGTGAAATTGAAATTTTATGTATGCAGAGTGTTAAAAATCCTATTATGTCAATTTTTTAAAATTACCCAATTAAGAATTTAGCCAAAATAATATTATGTGAGACTTGACAACTCCCAAACCTTTTTGCCATCTATGAGAAAAATCTCTAGGTTTATATAATATTATTTTTGCAAAAATCTTAATTGGTTTGCTTTTAAAAATTGACCCAAATCAGGTTTTTTAACAATCCTACATATATCTCTAGTTAGTTTCTTTTTCGATGAATCGTTATGAGAAAAAAAATTCAGATATTTGTGACCCGTTTTAATTGTGTTAAAAATCTATAAGAACATATAATGTTTTAATTTAAAAACTGTAATTATGGAGACAAAAATTACTATAATATGGATAAAAATATTAATATAATATGAATTTATAATTTTTAATTTAAATGAATTAAATGCTAGATTTTGTGTTATTTCTTTTTCATAAGTCATAAATACTAAATTTTGTTTACGTTGATCTTTTATCGATTCTCAAGTGCTCAGAATTCTTTTTATTATAGAGAACGAGATCTCACGAGAAGCTGTTGATACCCCATTGATGAAGGCTGTTGGGTAGCATTACAATTCTTTAAATATGATTTTCTATGCATAATATTTATGATATTTTTAAAATTATGTGTTTTTATAACTTCTATAGCTTATAATCCTTTTGCAATTTCATTTCATTAAGTAACTTCTCCCAATTTAAATAATAATTCTAATGGTTTTTTTTATCTGATATATAATAATCAGGGGTAATGGGGACAATGTATTATAACATGATAGAAGATTATAATCATCTTGTGTAAATCTATCTAAAAAATGATCTACAATAATTTCATAATAATTCTTTTTTAATGAATTCTAGTTGGAGTCCTATTCAAAATCAAGTTGCAATTTGGTATCGCTTAAAAAATCTTGAAGATTTGTAGGTTTATTGTACCCTTGGTTTGACGGGTGAGAATATCATCCACTATATTAATACATATTGATTGTAGATTCTTATTTAGTGGATCTATTGTTATTAATAATAAAGACAAGCGGGAAAGGTCTTGTCCTGTATAATGTTAAAAATCTTGTCCTGATAATTGTTAAATGGGGAAATTTGCTTGTAGAATGAGAATTAGTTGTAGGGATTTAGCTCAATTCAAATATAAGGATGTACATAAGAATTAAATCTGCAAAATGGTATATTTATTTAATAAAACAAGTATAAAATCAATACGATTAAAGTAAAACTGATTGTATTTTTTAATATAAGATCTCTTTTTAAATCAAAAGTAAATTAATTATGTAAATATATATCATAAAATAACGTTTTCTATATCCAATTTACATAATATAAAAGTTTAATTTAATATATCACACGATCGCCTTAAACCTTCATTATCTATAATGGAAAAATATATTAACGCTTAACACAATAAAAAATAAATCGTTACGAATATGTAACAAATACTACATAAATTATACAATATAATATAATTTATATAAACGCATTGAGATAAAAGACTAGAGGCTTCTACTGAATCATGAGGGGAAGCCTATGAGTTAAGAATTCTATTAGAAAAATAAAATAATCCTTCATAGAGAGCCTCAGGATTCTTTTAAATGATACGAGATTCTAAATGACCTGTCCAATTCTGGGCTAAAAGATTATTAAGAGTATGCTGAAAAAGGATACATTAAAAGGCCTAAAAAATTATATAATGCATGATATAAATTAAAAAGATTAGAAATGATGGCAATATTATTATATTAAGGCACATTTTTATTAATTTTTTTGAAGCAGGGTTGGTACTCCTCCATTTCGGATAGACATGAAGTTTGCACCATCATATGTCGGGCTTATTACATACGATGAATTAATATTTAATTCATTAATGTGCTTTAAAAACAATTAATTATGCTTTCAGCAAAAAGATGTAAATTAATGATTACTATTAAATTTTCTTAAACCACAAAAAATAACTAATAATTAGCCAGGTTTAATTAGATGCGTCTTTTATCTCATCAACCTTAAGACACTTTTGTTATATTTTTCTGATTTATATTCCAGCACTATATCTGCCATAATAGATTAGACTTCTTTTTGATTTTGGGGTAGTGTTGTTAAAAAGCCCGATTCGGGTCCATTGTGGTTTTAAAAAACGACCCGATTAAGATAATAACCGAAATAACATTATGGAAGCCTAAAGATTTTGCTCATACCTGGGCAGAACTGTTTGAACATTTATTTGCCAAATTATAATATTATTTTTTCTAAAATCTTAATCGGGGCCGTTTTGAAAAATCGACCTAAATCGGGCTTTTTAACAACACTAATTTGGGGTGACGTTTATTGTGCATTTTTGGGTAATCATTTTATAATTTTATTTAATTCCGGATCTTTTTTAGATGGTTCAATATATATAGTCCAGAAGAATAACTTATGTTTTCATCTTTTCCAGCATCGGTAATTTTTGTTGAACTAGCTCCACGAAAAGGTAATTTCTGCATGCTAAGAAATAGCATTAAATCAAATATTGATTTAAGATGATAACGATTACGATTAATTTACTGGCTTACCAGAATTGTTGTTATCTTAGTATCCTTATTTAAATTAAGATTTTTATCATGCCATATTGTTGTCGACTTTAAATGAGCTTTCATGTTATAAGTCCCTTCTTTGCAGCTAGCGCTTTTTTCCAATTGCTGAATCTTTTTTGTCAAAATATGTATAAATTAAAAAAATAATATTTTTCTAAATATTTTGTTGTATTTTCATTTAGATTTGATTGTTAATTATGAATTAAAATTTAATAAATAATGATCTTTTTAAATTTGGGGGCCTGAACCTGAAAAATTTTGGGGGGCCAAAAATTTTTTCGAGTGGCCAGGTTTGTGGACCAATTTTTTTTTGGTTGATTAAGGTATTAAAACCAAACCCTTTGTCAATGTTAAATATTAGTTTGATTAACTAAAAACTAAATTAATTTGATTAAATTTTATATTTATAACTAAGTCAGTATAATTGATAATTATGGGAAAAACGAAAATAAAAATATTCTTTATACATTTTAAAATTACTTATCTCCAGATGAAAGTTTGAAATTCAATTTTCAATCGAAATTTTTTTCCTCCTGATCCTTTACTATTTTTTTTTGATAATTTCTTCAATAATTATTCGACTTCTTAATTTCTTCCAAAAATATCACAATTATTCATTTATTAAAAACATATAAATGGCGCTATATAAACGTTTCGATACAATAAAGGGTCTTGTTTTATTGTTTATAACTATTTTAGGCAATAATTGATTTAAAAGTATTATCAATGTTATATTTTAAAAATATTTATAAATTTTTTTTGATCCTTAATATGGCTTAAGAAAGTTTTTTTTATCAATATGCATGATTTATTATAAATCAATTATAAGCCTTAAAATATTTTTGAACGATAAAGAAGTCTAGTCTTTATTACATTAAAAAGCTCATTATTATTTATTGAGAAAAATAAATAGTATACAAGCAATAGTAAAAAAATTGGAGCTCCTAATCATTTTTTTGAACTTTCAGATGACATGAATAACATAAAATTTTTTCCCCCTGATGATCAATTATTGACTTGTTTATAAATCCAAAATTTTATATTTAAATTGAGTTTTTAATCTAACTTTAATATATAAGACATGCTTTATTGAAACTGAAAAAGGTCATAAGGTGTTTTATTTGACATTGTATAGCCTTGTTAAATTTTTGATGAAATAGGGCAGGGAAAATTGATATTTAAATTAGTTTTATTCATTATTTTTAAGCACGTGTAGTTATTAAACCTCTCGATTTGAGTCGATTTTAAAAAACGGCTAACTCAATGTTTTCGCCAGTAAAATATTGCCTAAGCCTCGAGATTTCTCTAATAGATTTCCAAACCTTTGTTGAATATTTTTCCGGATAAAATATTGAGTTAGCCGTTTTTAAAAATTGGCTCAACTCGAGCTGTTTAACAACACTAAGCATGAGTT